CAAGCGAGATGTGCTGCAGGGACAGGAGAGACGAAAGGACAGTCTGCCATCATGACACAAGAGGTGCCACGCGTCAGTGACTGGATGGATAGTACTGTGGCTTCTTTTGAGGATAAGGCAGGTGGAGAGCGAGTGGTGCAAGCGAAGGCAGGGACGTGTAAGAAAGGGGGGAGTGCTGGAGGGTCATCGTGTCAATGCAAGGCCCTGCGTGAGCCAGCTTTGGTAGGCATGGTTATAACGAGCAGGTTCGCTCTGGTTCATGTATGAAACCGTCTTGTCAAATGCCTTGCAGCACGCGCGAAATCGGATTGTACTCACATGAATTGGAGAGAAGGGAGACAGAGGGCAGGTGGCAGCGGGCCTTCCAACATGTTGTCAGACAATCCCTTCACGGACACGACACACACATGGCGTGGAGAGCACAGAGGCATGGCATGGAGGCATGGCATGGCGGCGTAGCATGGAGGCATGGCATGTGGACATGGGATGGTTGAGACGGGGACATGGGATGTTGGAGTGAAGGCCGTATCGTTCACAGCGTGCTACCGCAGCAGTGTGAGCAGACAGACAGTGATGTGGCATCGCGAATACACGGGGGCAGCGGAAGGACCACAGCACCAATGTCAAATCAAAGCCTTTCTGAGATTCATAAGGTGTCGAAATGATTTCGAGGCGCCTCAAAAATACATGGGTGAGCGGCGGCGGCGGCGGAAGGACCACAGCAGCACCAATGTCAACAGTCAAAGCCTTCCTGGGATTCATAAGACCTCGCTTACAAGGTTTCAAGCTGATTCATATTGCTGATTGCCGCAGGAACGGAACCGGTAAGCATTTTCTGCAAGTTCCTGAAGCAAGAGGGGCGAAGAGGGAACGAGTTATCCAGCTAATTGCAAATCAATCAAAGCTGGAGAAGCGTGAGGAGACCACTAAAACGCGTGCATCCTTCTCCAAAATGTGCTATTAACGGGAATGTTTTCATACCAACGTAGCTACATATGCTGCTGGGTGAAGCCTGATTGCGCAGGACAGACGGACGGACGGACGGACGGACAGACAGACAGACAGACAGACAGACAGACAGGCAGGCAGGCAGGCAGGCAGGCAGGCAGGCAGGCAGGCAGGCAGGCAGGCAGGCAGGCAGGCAGACAGACAGACAGACAGACAGACAGACAGACAGACAGACAGACAGACAGACAGACAGACAGACAGACAGACAGACAGACAGACAGACAGACAGACAGACAGACAGACAGACAGACAGACAGACAGACAGACAGACAGACAGACAGACAGACAGACAGACAGACAGACAGACAGACAGGCGGACAGGACGGTCAGTGCAGACAGCGCGGACAGAGGCTTCCCAGGAAGAGGAAAAAATACGACTACTAACTGTTGAGCCGAGTCAAGGAAAGGGATGCTTACAAGCTAATGAGATTGGTCAATGCGAGTACAACACTTAGTGAGGAGCCCACACGAGCATTTGTCAAGTAACTGATGCAGTGGTGAGAGGGTAGTGGTGTGGTGGGGAGAAGGGGATAAGAGGGGGGCGAGAGAGGGAAGGAGTAGGCATTTGAGAAGAACAAGGTGGAAGGAAGGAAGAGGTGGGCGGCACAAGATAGGCTGTAGCAGCGAAGCAGCAGGGGCACACACCCACAAGCAGAAGCGTGTGCGTATGTGTGTGTGTGTTGTGTGTGTCCGCGTGCGCGCATGCGCGATTGCGTGTGAGTGTGTGTGTCTGCGTGCGTGCGTGCGTTTGTGTGTGCGTGTGCGCATGCATGCGCACTAGCAAATGCAGCAATTAATCATTAAATTTACTGACAAACCACACGCAGGTGTGCATGAAGCAGTGCACGCATGCGAGTGAGCATAATAAGAAGGTATGTGTTACATGCACCAGGCGGCACGTATTGCATGCAGCAGGGGGCATTCGTTGCATTGCATGCACCAAGGGGAATGTGTTGCATGCAGCAGGGGGATGTGTTGCATGCAGCAGGGGGAATGTGTTGCATGCAGCAGGGGGAATGTGTTGCATGCAGCAGGGGGCACGCGTTGCATGCACTAGGGGGCACGTACATGCATGCGCCAAGTATGGAGCATGTATTACAGATATCTGAGCCCGCACGAGGTCATTAAGGGAGGGGACACCACTACCTCCGTCTCTGATGACCAGCTCAATGACCTGAGACCCAACCCACCCACACACACAACAAGAAAGAGTTCAACTTGAGCAAACAAACATTCTGCCACAATTCCTTTGCTCCTCCTCCTCCTCCTCCTCCTCCTCTTCCTCCTCCTCCTCCTCCTCCTCCTCCTCCTCCTCCTCCTCCTCCTCTCCTCCTCCTCCTCCTGGTAACATATACACACACACATACACATTACACATGGTAACATTGAAAGTGCAACAATGCATGAACTTCTACCAATTGCACAGATATAACGGTTACGAATGATGATGAATGAAGTATCACTGTACACTCCTAACCGCAGCTAAAAAAGCACGCAGTATCGAGAACGAATGCGAAGAGTCAAAGTTGACTCGAAGCGTCAGACGATTGGGGTGGATCTGGACCGTCGGAGCAGACGGCATCGGGCAGCTACTTGCAAGAGGAATTTGGCGGGAACAGTTTCGTAACTGTACGCACCACACGGTTGGGAATAAATTTGAATAATGTAATGTACCCCTTAGAGTACATGGCTAGCTAGGTCGATTCGAAATCCCCTGTACTCTTATTTTACTTTGAATGACCCACAGATGTGTGCAGAATGGCTGCTCTGACTGGCTCTCCCAGCCACCGGTGCAGGGCAGAGGGCGAGGGGAGTGACCCACTGAAGGGGGAGAGGTGGGGCAGAGGGAGGGGAAAGAACGGGGGAGGAGGGGAGAGTGAAGGGGAGAGATGGGCATGATTTTATCATCTCAAGCATTTTAACATTCTCTCTGCTATTAAGGTCAAGGGCCCACCATCACTACCTAACTGCATGCGAACCTTCCCGAGGAGATCCTGGGAGCGATTACCTACTGATCGTAGCATGGTATGAGAGCGACTCGGGAATCCTTCGCACTGCCACCTCCGAGAGCTACGACATTCGGAAAGTGGCGTCCGGCACACGATCGCGTGTGAGAATGGCCGGAGGATCTGGTGGTCAGACAAATCTGACGGCTGAAGCGCAACCCAACCCGGCTGCGACAAGCGAGGAAACGACGACGATCGGGACCGAAGTCCTCGCACAACTACTTCAAACGACTCACCAGCTTGGAGCAAGGGCTCCAAACATTGCGGAACGGCGACGCGGGAACCTCCTCGCAACCTTCTCAACCAGCCCCAAATGCCTACAATGCCACCCCGCACATTTTTCTCCCTCGACACAAATGGCTCAACCCCCAAGACTCCCCGTCCTAGTGAAGAAGCAATTCTCTCTGCGCAATCAAGGTTTCTAAGCATATCAAAAATGGAGACAAGTGTCTGTTTTGACGGCAGAGACTTTTATACCTGGAGCTTCGAGCTGGAGCTCCTATTGCAGAATGCTCAGATCTTTTCACTACTTTGACGGGAGTTACGCGGAGCCCGCTGAAGACACCGACGACGTCAAGACTAGGTACTACAACGAGTCCCTGATGGCGTACAGTATCCTTCTGCGCAACATGTCGCCGGCGGAGCAGCTCAACATTCGTTCGTACAAAACCTCGCCCGCTCCAACCCTCGACGCTTGGAGCCACCTGAACGACGTGTATCAGCCGAAGGACTCGGTTTTCCTCGAGCCGGCTGCTCCAGCAGCTACTGGAGACTAAATGGCCACGGGGAGAAGGCCAACAGCTACATCAATCGCTGTCGGAGCCTTCGCGATCGAATCGCGAAGTTGGGAAGCTCAATATCAGAAGAAATATTTGTCAACATCGTGCTTCAAGGGCTCGGCCCAGAGTGGCGGCCCTGCAAGGCGCTTCTCCGACAGCAGGGGGTCATCTCGGAGGCCGCCCTTTGCGCCGCCCTTCTCGTCGAACAACGGGATATGGATCAGCAGCGACCAGCGCCACGACGAGAACGTGAACGGCTCGCCTTCTACGCCGACAACAACGAAGAGCGACGGCCGCGGCGCCTCTACTGCAAGATTTGCAGAAACTTCGGGCATTTGGCGGATCGATGCAACAGTCGATCCAGCCCTCGCCAGACCAATCCGAGCAACTGGTCCGGCCGACAAGACGCACGAGGCGACGTGCGTCCAGCCCAGGGGTATCAACCCCCTCCCGCGCGCAACCTGAACCCAGCGGTTCAGCATCAGCAGCAGCAGCCGTCATCGTTTGCACCTGTACGCAACGTCATGAGCAACATGGCCATGACCAACGCCGTCGCCACCCCCACAGTCACCTACGTCACCGTGGCTAACAACACTCGCCTGCGCGCAAGGCATCGTCGTGCTCAAGGCACGCGGAAGCCGCACGCACATCACGCTTAACGATGTGCTGATCGTCCAGAACCTGCGCTTCAACCTGCTTTCCGCCGCACAGCTCATGGACTGCGGCGTTGACCTCAGCACGGATCGCGCGACGCGCGACATTCTGCTGCACTACGAATCGAAGACTTTCTCCCGCGGGCAGATCGGACGAGCACACTCCGAAAATGGAGTGTACGTCTGGATTTCGACATCCTTGACTGCAGCGGTGACTCGAACGAGTTAATCGACCTCGTTCCACTTCGCTTCGAACACATCTACCGCAAGGACTGGAAACACGCTGATGGCAGACCGTGGGTGCCACATCACCCGCACCCGCGCGAGTGGCGCTGCATGACCCTGACCCAGATGGCATCTGCAGGGATTGCCACACGCCGACGGTGTCAACTAGCGCAATTGTCGGCCGCGGACTCGCCGCCATCACTAAAACTGAGCGACACACACCCCTAAAAGAAGGGATGCCACAGCTGGAACTCGAAAGTACCACGCGTGGCGTGTTCGGCACGAGCGAACACCCTCTCGTCGGACCCCCTTCGCAGCATCTCCAAGGCATGCTACGCGGCACTGGCATCGGCACCTTCGATGCGCACAATGTGCCGCGACCCTACACAAACGAGAAATTCATGGAAATTTATTCTCACCGGCGCGACTCGACGAAGAAGCTCACGGTGGAGCAGGAAGAAGAACGGGCGCGCTGCGAAGCTGAGGAGCTTCGCCAACAAAGTCTCGCCGAAGCGCGCGGGACATTCGCATGCGGCGCTTGGGGAGCCGGCGAGGAGGAGAGCGCCTCCAATGAAGGGGGGTGGGGAAGCGCTTGCGGATGGGGCACAAGACAACCGGCGGATGGGGCAACAGCGGCGGAACTTGGGCCAACGCAAGCGGCGGTGAAGGCAGCGGGGGGGGACTTCCCACGAAGAACCAAAGGGGGAGAAGAAGAAGAAGAAGAAGAAGAAGGAGAAGAAGAAGAAGAAGAAGAAGAAGAAGAAGAAGAAAGAAGAAGAAAGAAGAAGAAGAAGAGAAGAAGAAAGAAGAAGAAGAAGAAGAAGAAGGAGAAGAAGAAGAAGAAGAAGAAGAAGAAGAAAGAAGAAGAAGAAGAAGAAGAAGAAGAAGAAAAGAAGAAGAAGAAGAAGCAGCAGCAGAGGCAACACCGGCAGTTGTTCCCCTCGGTCGTCCCCCGCGCCACGCACCACCCGCACTACCTCCCCCTGATAACCCGCCGCATCGCGATCCCTGGGACACCATCAATTGAGGCAACAAACCATCAACCCCACGCCGAACTACTTACGGACCTGCTCCCGAGCCGCGCGAACCCACCTTCGTCCCTGGAACCATCCCTGGGACCGACATCCCTCTCTCTAAAATTCGCGACAGGGAATTTTTAGCGCTCATGCTCACCACCGACACCGACGAAGAAGAAGCAGCAGTAGAATCTGTCCCAGTACCTGACGAAGACCCTGAGGAGGCTCGTGCGCGCTATATGCGCACCTCAGGACTTCGCGCCGACGATGCACTATGGCACCAGCGGCTCGGCCACCCTTCACGCGCGACGCTGAAAAACTGCATCGACGCAAGAGTTTTTGCTCCTAGCGCACTCCTACGCCCAGACAGCAGCGAAGTGAGAGGGGCGACACACCCCCGTAACTGCACCGTCTGCCCCGAAGCTGCGCTGAGCCACCAACCGTTCCCGCTGCTCGAGCCACGGACGAACCGCTACCCCAATCTTCACAAGGTGTACAGTAAATTCCTAAACGTGGGGCACTGAGGAGTCAAGGACGAACTATATACGCTCACCTTCATCGACGCTGGGACGCGCTACGTGTGGGTCATGAACGCGGAAGCGCGTAGCAGAGCATACGAGATATTCCGCCTCTGGCTGGCGCACGCGCAGCGGCAGTCCAGGGAGAAGCTGAAAATCTGGCAATCTGACGGCGCAGCAGAATTCAGGAGCAAGGAGATGCTGGATTTCCCGGCGCAAGGGGATCGGGCACCACGTTTCTCTCCCCTACGCGCACAAGCAGTAGGGCGTAGCTGAGCGGACGAACCGCACGCTCATGACGAAGGTGCGGGCGCTGATGAAGCAATCGAAGCTGCCGCCAACTATTACTGGACCTACGCGATGCACCACGCCGTGCAGGTGCACAACCTGCTATCAACCACCGCCATCACCGGCAACCTGTCCCCGCACATGAAATGGATTGGGACTAAAGGGGACACTTCCATGCTTCGCGTGTGGGGGTGAATGGTAATACCGCCCGCCGACATCGACCATCAGCAAATTCGCCAGCCGCGCGCGATGGGGCATTCACCTCGGCATCAGCCACGAGCACAAGGCATGGATCGCATTGGATATGCTCAGCCAGGAGACTACCCATGTTCGCGATGTCATCTTCTACAAACGACTCTTCCTCGGGCAGTTCCGCCATGACGAACAAACAAACGCGAACCGCGTTTGCGCAAACGACGGGCATAGCTACGTAACGCCAGAAGACGAAGTAGCTACAGCAATCCTAGAGCAGGACACCAGGGGTGAGTTCACAAGGGGAGATCGCCACAGCAATGACGACGATGATGACGACGATTCCTCAGGAGGAGGAATGGGCGGAACGAGCGGAAGCGGCAAATGTACAGCGCCACCAGCACCACCAGAGCCAGAGACACCTGGGTGTTAGTCGACCACGCAGCGATTAAACGCATGAGAATTCTCTCGGGGATAAGGGTCTTCCGCGTGAAGACCGCAGCATACGGAATGATTTAGCGCTTGGGTGGTGCGCGGATACGACCAGAGACACGGCATCGACTTTGATCAAACATTCGCGCCGGTTAGCCGCCACACCTCGGTCCGAATCCTGCTCGTCATCGCAGCTGCCAGACACCTGCCTCTGCACCAAAACGATGTGAAGAACGCGTTTCCGTACCCGTTGATGTTGTAATCTACGTGGAGCAGCCGCACACATACGACAAAGGGGATTCGCGCGTATGCCAGCTGTGCAAGTCCCTTTACGGGATCAAGCAAGCACTGAGGCTTTGGTAGCAGTACCTGCACAACATCCTGCTTGAAATCGGGTTCAAGCAGATGCCCCACGACCTAGGGATGTACCGCCGCGATTTCCGCGGAGAATACATCCTACTCACGGTCTACATCGACGATCTTCTCTGCACAGGATCAAGCAACGAACTACTGTAGTAGTTCGAAAAGTGCCTGGCGGGGCGCATCGACATCACCTGCAACTACGAGGTGAAGCAGTTCCTAGGCCTCAACATCTCCTACGCGCCAGAAGCTATCCACCTCTCAGCGGCTAAGTATGCAGAGGAGTTAGGGAAGCGGTTCAACATTTCACCTGCACCGCTCTCCACTCCCTACCGAACTCCCGGACCGAATCACAAACCTGACAACAAAGCCCTATCCCCCGCTGGAATTCAAACTTATCAGCAGCAGTTGGGATGCCTGCTCTTCGCCTCTGTCACATGCAGTCCCGACCTCTCCTACATCGCAAGTCATTTGGCCCAGTACTCACGCAAACCAACGTCTGAGAATATTCTGGACCTGTGGTGCGCTTTATAGTTCTTCGTCTTAACGCCCAAGATTGGACTCTACTACTCAACAGTACCGACCCCATCCTTCAACCTCATCAGCTACGTGGATGCTGATCACACAGCAGATGACGACAATCGACGGTCCAGGACTGGCTTCCTGTTCCGACTCGAACTTACGAGACCAATCTCCTAGAATTCGCAAAAACAGGAGCTGGTTGCATTGTCGTCAGCCGAAGCGGAATTCATCGCAGCGACGTCCAGCAGCAGTTCGCGAAGGCCTCTACTTGCAGGTTCTTATGCAGGAGGCGAAAATTCCAGCTTCGCCCACCTTTCGCCTCCACTGCGACAACCAAAGCGCGATCCGCATCGAGCTTCGCCCACCTTTCGCCTCCACTGCGACAACCAGAGCGCGATCCGCATCGCGAACAAACCTGGCTTCGTCAACCGCACCAAGCATATTGCGCTACGGTACTTCTTCGTCAAGGACGAAGTGGACAAGGGCAAGGTTGACTTGACCTACTGCCTGACAGGTGACATGGCAGCAGACTTCGTTACGAAGCGACTGCCACACCCGCAGTATCAGCACTGCTCCGAACTCAGCGGAGTAGTCAAGCAGGTCAAGTCGAGCTACGGCCAGTGAAGGGGGGTGTTACAAATGATGATGAATGAAGTATCACTGTACACTCCTAACCGCATCTAAGGGAAGCACACAGTTTCGAGAACGAATGCGAGGAGTCAGAGTTGACTCGAAGCGTCGGACGGTTGGGGTGGATCTGGACCGTTGGAGTTTACGGCATCGGGCAGCTACAGGCAAGAGGAATTTGGCGGGAACAGTTTCGTAACTGTACGCGCCGCACGGTTGGGAATGAATTTGAATAAGGGAATGTACCCCTTAGAGTACATGGCTAGCAGGGCGATTGGAATTACTATGTACTTTTATTTCTACCTTTGTATTTGCATGATTTTATTGTCTCAAACATTTTACATTCACTCTGCTATTGAGGTCAAGGGCCCACCATCACTACCTAACTGCGTGTGAAACTTCCAGAGGAGATCCTGGGAGCGATCACCTACTGATCGTAGCAATAACCTTCAGCTAAGATGTTAAACATGCACCCTACATGCATCAGGTTTCAGCAGCTATGATTGCCTTTAAAAAATAATAATCAACCTGTGTATCATGGCGTGCTCCTACAATACACTAGACAACAAAACACAGGAAAAAAAGGAACAGGAGCAACACAAAGCATTTCTCGACGATATGCCGAGAGGGTGCACTCAGGAAGAGTGCTGAAGGGTGTCAAACTGTATCTATCATATTATAATGTGTAGGCCAGGCAACTTTTCATAAATTTTAGCACCTTTCTCGCTATCATACATTTTTGTATGTTTTTCTGAGTTTTCAGACGCAACTTTTCTAGTGATTCTGATTTTCCATAAATTGTTTTTTGCTTTATCTGATTGATAAGAAAGGAAGTCTTGTATCCATCTGATTCATCAAACATGTATTTCACTTTCGTCTGAAACCGAAACATAGTACTAGGGGGATTTTTAGTGTGACACATGGGCAGAGCGAACCAACTGTGCCGCGATGGTGAGAATCTGCTCGTAATCTGATGCACCAGACATCCCGACCCCGCGCTCTTACGCTGAGGCGATCACGGGTGAGTACTCCACTCAGTGCCAGACAGCCATGGACGCAGAGATGGCATTCTGGAAGTCCACAGGCACTTACGTCAATGAGGTTCCCCCTCCTGGGGCGAACATCGTCGATGACATGTGGATTTTCAGGGTGAAGCGGCCGCCGGGTTCTCCTCGTGTCTCCAAGGCTCGTTACGTTGCACGAGGCTTCAGTCAGCGACAGGGAGTTGACTTCTTCCAGACCTTCTCCCCTACCCTGAATTGACCACTCTTCGGGTGCTGCTGCACGTCGCCGCTCAGCGTGACTACGAGCTTCACTCACTTGACTTCAGCACAGCCTTCTTACAGGGCAGCCTGCACGAGAAGATCTGGCTGCGCCGCCCACCTGGCTTCACTGGGTCTTTTCCTCCTGGCACCCAGTGGAGCCTCCGGTGGCCAGTCTACGGTCTCCGCCAGGAGCCTCGTGAGTGGCACGACACACTGAGGACGACACTTGTGGCTCTTGGGTTTGCTCCTTCGACTGCTGACCCGTCGCTGTTTCTGCGCACCGACACTTCGCTGCCGCCGTTCTACATCATCGTGTACGTCGACGACTTGATCTTTGCCACTGCTGACACTGAGGCACTCGCCCTTGTGAAGTCAGAGCTGCAGAAAAGACACACGTGCACAGACCTGGGTGAGCTGCACAGCTACCTTGGCTTGCAGATCATTCGGGATAGAGCACGACGCACCATCACACTGACTCAGTCCCACATGGTGCAGCAGGTCCTTCAGTGCTTCGGCTTCACTTGGTCCTCGCCACAGTCCACTCCTATGGCTACGGGTCACTCGCTCTCAGCTCTGCCTTCAGATGAGTCCGTAGAGCCGAGTGGCCCGTATCCAGAGCTTGTGGGCTGCCTCATGTACCTGATGACTTGCACACATCCTGACCTTGCGTACCCCCTTAGCATCCTCGCTCGCTACGTTACACCTGGGAGACACCGGCGTGAGCACTTCGAGGCTGCAATTAGGGTGTTATGCTACTTGTGCAGTACGTCAGGCATGGGGCTCGTGCTTGGAGGACGGGGTGAGGTTGTCCTCACTGGACACTCGGACGCGTCTTGGGTTGACGACCTGGCTACGCAGCGGTTGTCACTGTTGGTGCAACCCTACGGTTTGCACTCAGCTTGTTGTCCGTGTGCATGCGTGTGTGCATGGAGTGGTATGAGTGCATGAAATAAATATATATTTCATGCTTATAATGGTGTGTGAATGATGGGTCATGATGTCGAGTGTGTGTGTCGAGTCTATAGCGAGTTATCGCTAGCCGCGTGTTAATGCGGTCATTTGTGTCTCGCGCGCGGTTTCTATTTTGTCGTGTGTCCCGTGCGCGGTTTCTATTTTGTCGCTTGTCGAACGTTTGGCGTGTCGCAGGTGTGTGCAGCAGACCCATCAAGAACTCAAG